ATAAATAAATTTATGGGAAGACACAGCAGGAGTCCCAATGTTTTATTTCACCATATATATATATATTTGCAAATATAGCTACAAATAAATGCTTGTATCACATATAACAAAAAATAAAATAAAAACAAGGTATTTTACTAAAATATGAAATTATGATGTCATACATGAAAAGAATTTCTAATACATGATCATAAGGTATTTTATTTACTGGAAATATAGATGATAGAACACAACAGAATAAGGAAAGCTTATATCCTACCTTTTATATTTCCCTTTCCCTTTCCTTCATAATCCCGCCCCCTCCCCACTGTGAGGAAGGGATTGGGATGTGGTGTAGATAGGATAATTTGTGCTCCCTGAGATTAAGCATGTAGCTTTTTTGTGCTTCAGATGAATATCTCCCCGCTCCCGGCCCTGCAATTTGACTAAGGAAACGCCTAGGGAGGGGGGCTCTTTATGTCTGGAGCTGTTTAGGTTAGCAGAGGGAGCATCGACAGGTGGTGGCCCGCTCAATTTTTTCCCTTCTCTCTCTCTCGCTCTGTCGCTCTCACGCGCGCACACTCACCCAGAACACAGGAAAGGCTACATGATTGTCATGCAGTACGTTGGCTGGGAAGACGGATGGAGCTCCGTGCAGCCTGCCTGATGCCGCTGGCGCTGGCGAAAAGCCGCTGAGGAGGAGAGGCAGGGGCCGGGCGGCTCTTGGGGGCAGGTTGGACAACAAGCGGCGCCGGCAGGCTCAGAGAGGGTCCTTTCCCCCCCTCCGGCCGCGCTTTGGGAACCTCGTTTTGGCCGGGCGGGCCGGCGGCGGGGAGGTATTGGCCAAGGTAAGAGCTCTCCAGAGAGGGAGTCAACCGGGTTTTGCTCCTGAGGGAAGCGAGCATATTGTGCCCTCCCCCTCAGTGTCTCAATAGATTTGGCCTCTGTCGGGTCCTTGCTTACCCCCCACCTCCCGCCGGAGGGTGGGAAGGAAATGCTGCGGTGGGGGGGGGGGCAGAACAAAAACACACGTTTTCCCTCCCGAGGGGAGCCGGAAGAGGGCTCGGGCAGGAGACCCAGTTTGGGGTGACTCGGTGCCTGGTGGTGGTGGTGGGGTCCAGTGGCTGGTTGCTGGCGAGTCAGTTGAGTGAGTTCGAATCTCCAGCCAGCGACGACAGGCTGCCCTCGAAATGTGTACGCCGGGCTTCTGGAACGCGTCGTTCCGTCTCCAAGCCTGGGTTGTCTCGCGGGCGTTTGCAGGATGAGCTCCGCTCGCCGCCTCTTTCGAGGCACGGAACGCCGAGCGCGCTTTGACGAAGCACCGCAAAGGGGTCTGGTCTGGTCAGGAAGGTCTCTTCCCGGGAGGTCTGGTTGAGGCGCTCTTGAGAGGTGAGGCGAAAGCGCTCCGCGGTGGCTTTTTGAAGTCATCCACCAAGGGTGAGGAGCAGGTGTCTTTGGGGGGGGGGATCCTCTAAACTTCTGCTAAGGCGTTGAAACAAACTCTGGCCAAACAGTGAAGGATACGGTGTCAAAACTGAGCACTAGCAGCTGTTGTTAAAGGTAAAATAGAACAAAACAAGGTTGCTTACAGGCTTTTGTTTTGGTGTTGCAGCTGTCCTACAATTGTTTTTCCACATTTGTTTCTTGACCTATATTTGGTGGGATGGTAGTGGTGGATAAATGGGTTGCAGAACTGTAGGGGGGGCATTTCAGGGGCTGTGGCCTACCAGTTCATTAATTTTCTTAGTCTGGGTTTAGTTTTTTAAAATTTAGTGTTATAACAAATGCAGGTTGTTGTTGTTTTTTCTTGTGCATACCTATTTGTTTCTCTGTGTACTCACAAATGAACCCTCCCCCCTTTTGCTATATGACTATTTGTTTCCTGGAATAAATGGGATACATTTAATAAAGCATACAGGATGTCTTTGTTGTAACATTTGCATAATATTAAGACCTGAAAACCTATAGCTATCCAACAGTGTGGAAAACATATAGTATGTGTTAAAATTTTCATCTATTATGTTTCATTTCCTAGTGAGTCATTTTAGTTTAAATAGTTTACAGTTTTTAGTTTAATTGCTCTTTAAAGTTTAGTTTATTGTTTTTTCCCCAGCCTGTTGCTGTCAAATACACAAGAATTGTATAAAAGGGGAGGCTATTAGCCCATGTATTATTGTATGTTGCCTTCTGTATTATAATTATAAAATATTTGGAAAAACAGAATAAATTGCCTAATATTTATCTCTGTTCAAGAGTCATACCTAGTTACTGTGATATTGTTCTGCACTTTTTTTGTTCAGTATACTTTCTGTCCTTTGTTGTTTTGTCCAGAATATCAGGCCAGAAATTCTTTTCCTAAGACTCCTATAGACTTTTATAGATTTCTAGGAAATATCAAAGCCTGTGTATGTCAAACGGACATGACTGAAAGGAGTTATATGATTTCACGCGACATCCTGTTAAAATATAATCTATTTAACATTTCATGAGGAGCAGCTGATTTGAAGATACCTCCTGTCCCCATTTTAAAGATCAGGTACTTCACTGCTTTTGGGGTATTCTTGTGCCTGTAGGTTGATGGCTGGGGCATCAGGTCATATGAGAGTCTTGTAATCCAGAGGATAGTGTTCCTCTTTTTGTTTTGTAAACAAGAAAGATGGAGATTAAGATATTTGGTGTGCCATGGTGTTACAGGTACCTGTGGATATATCAGAATATGCTGAACCTAAGATTACAAGAAAGTGCACTTAGTGGACAATCAGAAAGTTGCATTGTTATAATCAGCAGTTGTAGCTTTTTCAGGAAGTCACCTTCCACATGGAGGAAATATATATTTTCGTATCTATGTATGTATGCTTTGCTGATTCTGTTCTGTCAAAGAGCCGTTATGTTGGCAGAATAACAATGTGTACGTACTTCAAAATCTTTCCAGGCAGGCTACCAGTGCAAAAGTTTTTTAGTAGTGTTGCTGAGGTTAGTGTAAGTGAAAGCAATATTTTTTGGTAAGTGTGTATTATATTACACTTCAAAGTGAATTAAATGGTTTTTGATATGTTTACAGAACATAATTTTCTTGCTTTTTAGAGTATGCATTCATTCTTGTGCATATATTTTTGATATATTTTTCTATACTTTCTTTTAAATAGGTTGCAGCATAAAATGAGACTCCCAGGTCAACTTTCAAACATTTATAGAATGTAATAAAGCATAATAATTTGTTTCTGCCCCAATCTTCTGCAAGCATGCTGTAAGTAGCTTGCAGTAAGAAAAGATAAACATGAAAATGTTAATCTAATTTTCTAACCTTACTGGTCAGTCCAGATTTATTTTTCATCAGATACCAGTATTAATTTGTTCACTGTTAGTCAGTAAAACAATTGTAAAGCTCTAGATTCCCTGTGTTGGAGTGAGGACCATTAAAATACACAAGCCAGTTACAGTATAACTCTGTAGTGCGGACATATTCTAAGAAAGTTGAGGAGTTGTAAAGCTCTAGATTCCCTGTGTTGGAGGAGTGAGAATCATTAAAATACACCAGCCAGTTACAGTATAACTCTGTAGTGCGAACATATTCTAAGAAAGTTGAGGAAGGAGAGACTTTTTAGGTAAGTTACACCTACTAAAAACTCAAATAAAGATTATCATCAAAACGAATGGCTGTCCTCAGAATTAAAACTCTGGGATTTTAAAGTTATGTTTCCACAGAGTCAAGGAATTGTTTTATTTATTTTCACAAGGCATAAAATGGATGTAGGTCACTAGATACAAGTCTGAAGGGTAGTGGCTTTCTAGATTTAAAATGTTTTGTAACAGGTTATTCAAGCTTTTTTACTGCAATTGCTAGGCTGTGTTTTCTGAAATAGATATGAACTTGAAGTTTGCAACACGTGTAACATTTAGGGGTGTGCTTTTTGTAATATAAAACATTCATTTTAATGCCTTGCTAGTTCTGCTTTTGAAGGCAACCATTTTATTAAGTGCATACAATTTAGGGACTGAATTCAGAATTGTATGGTGATGTCAGGAATTGTTTTTCCCCTCCTAGCTCTCAAAAGGCATTATGTAGATTTGGAAAAAGATGGGAAAGCAATGGAAAAAGCTTTTTAGTTAGCCTTGTCAAAGTGTTGTGGTGAATCAAAGGCTAAGGATAGTTCTCCTTACTCTCAAGAAACTAGGAGATAATGAATGAAGGTCTGTAACAGAAGGACTGCAGTGTGCCATTTTTGGATCTACCTTACAGTATATTGTATTTGATAGATTCTCAAAATAGGACTGATTCCTCATAATTTTGTACCCAAGATTTGTGCAGAATAACTTTGGCAGAGATAAGGTGCCTTATAAAGTTTGCCAAGGAATTCTAATTGCAGATATTCTTAATTTTGAGGGCCAGACTATTTGTTCTTGTTCTTGATGGAATTGAATTGTCATTTTGTTCATGGAAAATATCAAAATAAATAGGTTGGGGAGTGTGATGAGGCAGTATCTGCCAGTTTTCCTGTTATCTCTCAGGTTGTTCCTCAGAGTCCAACACATTTTCAGGAGTCCCAGGAGGCTGTAGAGATAAGACATTATCGCTCCCCTGGCCTCTTTTTCCAACATAAGTGAAACTCCCCTAAGCCCTATTTTGGATCCAGCCCAATGTGCTTTTTTGCAAGAAATCCCATTAAATATAAATGTCATCCTACATGCCCTTGACCATATTGTTTTGTTTGAGTGAGGGTAGAACTCCAAGTAAGGAAATAAGTGCCCTTCTCAAAGGTGCCATTATACATAGGTTTGATAGGTGGACAAACTGACATAGTTTTAAAATTGTCATGGACATTCCTACCCTATTAATTTAGATTACAAAGCTACGGTATTATGAACAAATAACCACAAACTATTGTGGTTGGTTGGTGTTCTCTTTTATAAGCCTGATGGGTAATTGTAGGTTCAGTTCATTGAGAAAGTAAGTTTTAGTGTAAGTTCAAGCTGCTATTGCTGAGGCAGTGATGACAATTGTAAACACAGCTGCTTAGAATAATATTTAACCTTATTTTTGTATCCTGTATAAAAGCTTCTTTTTTGTCATTGACTTTAATTGCTACAGTCAGATTCCATTTGAATGTGATAATATTTTGACTGGATCAACACTTGTGGTGCTTAGTCAAGATACACAGAAATTAGTAGGGTGTCAATTAGCCTTGACTAACTTGTCTAGGGCTATGTACACTAAGTATATTCATGCCCATTTAGGGAATATAATCTCAAGTGATTTCAGAAAAGAGTTTTTCAGCACTTAATAATGTGTTTATATGAAACAGCAGTTTCAGATTATGCACACCATGGACCAGACTTCCATATTAGTTGACAACACCTTAGGCTTAATGTTTTCAATGATGATTGTTGAAATATTCTGCTGAAAGTCATCAATGGAGCATTGATATTTAAATATGCATATGTACTTAAAAGTAAGTCCAACTGAACTCAGTAGGGCTGAATTTCTAATTAAATATAGATTTGTAAATGGCAACCAGTTGAGTGACATATATGCTAACCCTCAATATATTGTTTGACATGGATTTAAAGTATCATGGCTTATACTTGCCTTTATAAGGAATATTTTCAAACAACGGTCTGCAGTGGATAGAAGAAACATCTATGTAAAATATTAACTATGTGAGACATAGATGCAATGAGTGTCCGAATGAAATGGTCATAGAGACTCAATCCCTTGAAGGCAATCTGAACTCTCAGCATTTCTTCTCCCCTAATTATTGTGATTGTTCACTTTGTCTTTATGGGTTCCCAGCTATAGTGTGATCTTGAAAGCCCTTTTGAGTTCTTTACTAGGGTTTCAAAGCAAATG